GGGCTTGGGCTGCAATGTACATTGGCATCTGAGACAAAAGGAGCTAACTTGCTACCCTCCTCAAAGAAATAAGCTTATTTTTAAAAGAGTAAGCCAAGAAGTTTATCTTTAAAAACAAAACACATGGGGGGGGGGAGAAGGAGGGAGAGATAGAGACACAGAGAAAGAGAGAGGAAGGGGAGAAGAAGGAGAAAGGGGGGGACAGAGGAGGGGGAGGGGGAGAGGAGGAGAAGGAGAGAGAGGGAGAGAGAGAGAGAAGGAGGCAGAGTAGAAAGAAGCCTCAGAATCAGGACAACTTGGGTTCAGTCCATCAAGCACTGGACTGAATTACTATGTTCCAGGCACTGTGGATACAAAGAAAGGTAAAAGCTCCTGTTCTGGAGGATCTCCCGGTCTACTGAGGGAGGCTCTTCTCACCAGGGAGCCTGCCATAGTCCTCCATTAACAGGTCTGCCTCAAAGAAGACGTGTAGATGGCAGTGCCAGGAGCACAAAAACAAAGGAGGCAAGTTCCGGGCCTTCCAGGAGCTGACCTGCCACCACCCAGCAGCCCCATCCAGACACACTCTTTCTGGAGGTTACCGACCCACCTACACATTCCCTGTTTTAGCTCTAACTTGCTGCCTAGAGTGTTCCATTAAGTGGCACTTACATTTTGCCCGTGGCTTGATTCTGTCCCTATTAATTTGTGACAGGCAAATTAAAATGTGAATTTCACACTTGGTTGCTACCTTTCTGCCTCAATCTCATAGGAAGCCTGTGCTCAGGGACAGAGGCAACGCAGTGCTAAGCTCGGGAGGCAAAGCGAAGCCCCCAGTGGTTGAAGAGGGCCTCCGGTTCCAGGCTGTGGTCCCAACTGGCACCAAGGTGGGATCCATCCTGGGGGATGGACTCGAAACAGAAGGAAAAACAGCTGGGAATTCAAACCATCCCCCTTCCAGTGGGCCAACTCAACCTTTCTAGCCTTCTTGCCAAAACAGAGAAATGAGTTAAAAAGCTGGACATCCCAATCCAAGGGAAAGTTAAAAAGTAAATGTTAAGCTAATGGAGTCGTTGTTCATCCTTTTCATTCTGAGAGATCTGTGTAGACTCACTGATACAGCACCCTGAACCGTGAAGGATATTGAGGCAGAGTGGATTGAGAAGAACACTGGACCTAGGGCCTCACGAGACTGCTGATAAACAGTCGTATAACCCAGAGAAGCAACACTAGATTTGGAATTGTGAACCTGGGTTCAAATCCTGCCCCCCTCCTCCTTCACCTGATTGATCTCAGCCAAATGATTTAATTCTGTGCCCTCTTAAAGGGCTGGAATAGTCAGAGGGCCTGTAAAACTCCCCAGTGAGGCCACAAGAACACGATTAAGACAATTGGGAAATATTTAGCAAAATAAATAATAATACAATAGAACACAGATAATGCTAATATGTGGTTTTCTAAGTCAACATGCAGCCTTGAGGGACCCCGGTGAGTTTGTTGGACCTGAGCATTTCCAAGCCCCTTCCCTGTAAAGCAAAGGCTCCTAAGTCCCTCCTCTGCAAGCTTCCTCAAGTGCAAAATGAGTGAGCTGGATTACGTCTAAGCTTCCTTCTGGCTCTAATATTCTAGAATTAATTCTAGAATTCTAGAATTCTTCCTGTTAACTGCATATGAGGAAAAGTTGGGTAAAATTCAATATTTCACGAATTATCCTAGTTTTTTTTTAAAAAAGCTCAAGAGAAAATAGTTATCTTTTCTTTGCAACTTATTCATTTTAAAATATAAAAGTATTATGATAATTTCTACAGAAATCATTACTGCCATCATTTACTATTAAAGATTATAGTATAAAATAAAGGCTAGGTGAGAAAAATCTGAACACGGCAAGAAGAGAAACAGAATGACCCCCCTCAAAACCCAAACAAACCCAACTGATTACTACAGCTAACACTGGACTATCTGTGTGAAGGTAGGGGGTACAGGGGGGAGCAGAGAAAAGGGTTGATATGAATTAACAAAACAAAACTTCAATACCAGTAGAAGTGAAGTTATAACCTCTTTCCCTGGCAAAACTCTTGGTGGACCCAATGGGCATCATCTCCTGCCTTCTGCTCACATATTGCCTCTGGGAATGACATTTAGCCATTTGTAATGATCTTCACGGAAATCCCTGGTACCTTCTCCCTTCTCCTATCCAGATGATACACAAAACCCCAGATAAAAGTCTGCCCCTTCTATGAGACCTTACCTGACTTCGTCTAGTTGCTACTACAATCCTTTCCTGATCCCCCTTAAAGCCGGTGCCTTCTCTCTGCTGATTCACCCCAATGTCTCTTCTATTTGTTTGTGCCAAGTTGTTTTCCTGTTTGTTTCCCTCGTGGAAGTGTGAGCCCCTGGAGAGCAGAGATTTTCTTCCCCCCTTTCTTTTTATTTCCAGGGCTTCACATGATGTCTATCACATAGCAGGTGCTTAATAAATGCTTGCTAACTTATATATCTTGCATCTTTTCCTGAACGTCCAATCCATACCACATAATTGAGCAAATAACTATATACTGTTGATCACTAGCCTTTCACTGATAAGCCTCATCTCAACTAGATTATAAACTCCTAGCGAGCAGTTGGTGTTTTATACATGTCTTCATCCCTACAAGCAGCTAACACAGAGGTAAGCAATAGGAGAGGATGCCCTACAGATACTTATTGACTGACTCTGATGCAGGCCTGAAAATAAAAATTAAAAAAAAAAAAAGGAAAACTCTGTTGTCGTCAGGGAATGGAGTGCTCTAGTTAATCCAATATTCTTCTTAACGAGTTAAGGTATACGTGTCAGGGGATTATCAGTTTGCAAAGAACGAAAATGCACTCAACAAAACTGAAACAAACATAAATGATCTTTGATGATTCAGAACACGGATTTAGCCTCTTTCTGAGCACCTCTTTATTACTAAGTGAGTTAGCCTTGAACTGGCCAATTACAGAAGACCCAATAATAAGAGTATTGGGGATGATAGGAAACATAAAAGAGCTTCCTCTACTCCATTCTAGAAAAGACACAGTCAATTCTCAATGCTCAATGCTCTATTAATGAACAACAAGTAAAATAACAATAATAAAAAAAGATAATCCAAAATCCATTAACATTTGGCTTTGGAATAGAGACATACCTCCATTTAGGCAGGAGCATACACAATCAGTTATGCCTGACAAAAGGTGGTATAAAACCTCAGGTCTTCAGTTAATTTGCAGTGAAACAGCTATAGATAATTTATAGGGGAATGCCTTTCAATTCCATTTGAAAAAGCATGTATTGAGTGCCTACTGTATACCAGCAGGATACATACAAACTAGGGATATATAAGCCAGCTCCTGAAGAAGGCAAGGGACAAGATCAAGAATACAGTAATCAAAACAAGGCATTAAAAATGAATGAGTCTTTCCAATTTAACACATCCTCTAGAGAAATATCACCAATGATCCGCACACAGGGCTTCCTAAGAATGTATACACACAGCCACAACAAGTCCTCGTCTTTAGCGGTTCCCAAACACGGACCCATTTTCAAGAATCTCCAGGGAATAGTCACCACAAGATCTTAACATTCAGAACGCTGAGGCAAGCTGCCAACTCAGCACCAAAACCGGCCTAACAACTGATTTTTCCTATTGCAACATCTCTGACAAGGGCTGGGCTTCCCTGACTCTTTTTTAATAGCGATCCTCATTTCAAAATCAATTTATTTGTTCTGTGATACACTCCAATCGGAAAATCTCTATCGCCACTGGTAGCACTTGGTTACTGTGTGCCAAAAAACTCCCCCAGTGGCCAATCAGAAGGCCCAACCAGCAGTACAAATAAAGCTCAAGGCAGTGGTAAGCAACAAACGGCCTTTAAAAAGGGCATATGCTCAATGTGGCACTTCATGTCCCCGGGCACAGGGCTCTGGGACCTGAGGGAAAAAAGAAAAGGAAAAAAATAAGAATGTTAAAAAAAAAAAAGGCACACAGACAAAAGAATTGGCTCCAGGGTAGAAAATGTAAAAACCGTATCTGCTCTGGAATTGTGCTGGGAAAAAGAAACTACATAGTCTGGGGACTCAACCCTCCTGGGCATCTTCCCTTCACCATCAACATCCCTTTGATAGCCTGGTAAACTCAAAGTGAACCTGCACTTAGAATCACTCCACAAGCTGAGGAGGGGGCTTACTCTGGAGGTCCCACTCTGTTAGACACCGCCTCCCTGGGAGAGAAGACTGTCCAGACAAGGGTACTTCCGTGGGAGACCCTTCAACTTGACCTCTGAGGTCTTCTGGATTCTTGGCACCTGCTTCCCTAAAGATCGCTTCTGCCCAAAAACGTACCACCCAAAACCACCAAACTGCTATAATAACTAGATTCAGACCAAATTATTGGCACTAAAAATAGATTTTGGAAATGCAATAATAACAAATGATACCCAAAACTTGTGCAAATAAATCCAACAAGTTTCAATTCTGATTTTTTTAGTTTCACCAACTTTGTTTAGAAATTATTCTAAAAAGAAATGCACTGAGACTAATTTCTGTTTGGCCAATCAGGACCTCTAGGTATGCGTTTAGTGATGGTCCTGCCCAACTAGACTGATGTAAATGCCTGACACCCCTGAAAAAGAGCTCTTCCTTTAGAGGGCCTGGGTGGCTTAAATCTGCCCAGGTCCTAAGTAAGTGCCTCCATAAAAATGCAGAGAGACGTCAAGTTTCCTGAGCCGACAATCCTCAAGGGCTAATTATTCTCTTTACCACGTCGGGTAGGAGGATGCTCTCAAGTTGGAGGAAGTACCTTTGAAACAAGAGTTTTAAATCGCCCTGGCTCCGCCCCTTTCCCCACCCCCACCTCAGCCCCCCCATCCTTTGCAAGCTCCCCAATCAGGATCTAGGAGGGGGTGGGGAGGGGGACTGGGGGCCCGGACTGGTCGGCCAGGTGAACCAGGTTAAATTTTGCCCCCGAACTCGTCCCAAGCAGCTCAGGCTGGGAAGAACTCACCTTCTCGGCACAGCCGCATTACTTCGCGGTTTTTCCCAAACTCCTTCAAACTTTCCTCCAATTCTGACCCTAAGAGAGAGAAAAACACAGCGCCCAGAGCGGCCGGTCAGTGGAGGGGTGCGAGAAGCTAGCCGGCGCCCAGCCCCGGGCAGGGTAGGGGCGACTCTCCCTCGGGGGCAGGGACCGGGCCGGGCCCGGAGGGCCGAAGGCAGGAAGGTGGGGGAGGAGGGGATCCTCACCGTCCTTCCCAGGAAGTTTCGCAGCTTCTACCCAGTGGTTCCACGGCTGTCCGACCATCGCCTCTGGACTAGGCAGAGACCTGCGCTCCCCGACGGTCGCCATTGTGGCTGCGGAGGTGGAGGCGCCGCCGCTGCTGCCGCCGCCGCCGCCGCCGCTCTCTGCCAGCCGGAGCCGCAGCTGCTGCTGCTGCGGCGGCGGCTGCTGCTGCTGGAGGGGCGGCCGCGGCTGGGGCTGCTGCTGCTGCTGCTGCTGCTGCTGGTGCTGCTGCCTGGCGGCCGCCGCTGCTCCTCCCGCCGCCGCCGCCGCCGCTCTGCGCGGCTCCCCTCTGACGTCATCCGCGGCCCTCTCCGACATTCTTTCCGCTGCTACAATGTAACAAAAAAAGGGGGAAAGAGTCGCGGGGCTTCTTAAGGAGGCGCTGCCGAGTTGGGGCGGCGTGCGCCGCCCGGGGCCAGGTGGGGCGCGCTGACAGCTGCCCCCGAGGGCCGCTCGCCCGCCCCCTCTCGAGCCCCCGGGGCGGCGGCTGCACCGGGGAGCGGGAGAGCGAGCAGGGCACAAAGTCCGGGAAGGGCGGCCCTCCCCCGCTCCCGCGCCCCCGCCCCCGCCCGGCGTTTGCTTTCAGTTTCGGATCAACCTGCCCGAGAGGGGCCGCCGGGGCTGGGCCTCCCGCCTCTGCGGCCGGGCCCGCGCTCCGCCGGGCTCGGATGCAGCCCGTCGGCCCCCCGCCCCCGCCTCGTCCGCGCCAGCCCCGACCCCGCGGCCCGCCCCGCTCCCCGCTCTCCCCTCCGTGGCTCGCCTGGCGGCCGCTGCGCTCATCCCCGGGCTGGGCCCCGGGCCCTGGCTTCCGTCGGTCCGGTGGGCCGGCCGGCCGGCGCCGCTCGCCCGCCCGCTGCCGGCTCCCTTAAGCACAGGCACCTCCCGCCGCCGCCGCCGCCGCCGCCACCGCCACCGCCTCCTCCTCCTCCTCCTCCCCTCCTCCCCGCCCCGCTCCGCTCCGCTCGGGCGAAGTTTGCACGTCAAGCCCCGGGAGTGGAGGGTGAAGTAGGGAAGCGAGGCGCGGCGGGGCCATCCCTCCGCATCCGCCCCCGCCCGTCCGCCGGCCGTCAGCGGGGTCAACCCCGCGCGTGCCGCTCCGGGCCCTTTAAACCCGGCCTATCCCGGGGGGGTGGGGGAGGAGGAAGCCCCGGCGGCCGGGGGTCGCTCTCGGGTCGCCCAGAGCAGCCGTCTGGGCGAGCCGAGCCGGCCAGCGGGCGTCCCAACTGTCAAAAGCGTGAATGGGGAAAGCCCCGACAACTCACTCAGGGCGCCGGGAGTTACTGCCGGAGGGGGGCAAGAAATGCGAAAATTCAAACGCGAGCTCCCGATACATGCCTGCGCGTCCGCTGGTCACATGCGAGCAATCGAAACGTTAGATTGTGTCTTTGTATGTGCACAGGCACCGGGGAGAAGCGCCGAGCCGAGGGGACGGAACGGCGCTTAACCCCTTCCAGGCCTGGGGCGCCGAGACCCGCAGAGCCGACTTAGCGCCCCCCACTCTCCCTCCTGGGACCCGGGAGGGAAAGATCAGCGGGTCTTGGGAGTGACTGAGGAGAAAACAAGGCTCGAATCAGAAGCAGTCTTATCTGTGGGCTCTAGCTATTCTTCCTTCTTTAAGGAATGAAAAGCCCTGAGAAAGACTTTAATTCTTCCGCGAAGTGCGGGGTGAATAAGGATCGTTTCGAGGCTCTGCTTCCATAGGATTTAAAGAAGGAAGGGCCCCTTGAGAGCTAAGCATTTTCACAAGGATTGAGCCCCGGCTTGACTGTTTACTGGCCGATCTAATCACTCTGGGCCTCAGTCTCCCTGTCTGCAAGATGAAGATGCTGACTTGCTCTCTCAGGTCCCTTGCAGCTCTAAATCCTACCATCCCAAGAAACCCAGGCCCATTGAGGTTAAGTGAATTTCCCAAAGTCTCATCAAGAACTTCTCCGCTGTGACCCTCGGGTCTTCGGTTTGCCTTGGGCACATCTGCTTTTCTGCCTATAATCTCACATTTGGGTCTGCTAGGTATGAAAGTGTTCTGGTATCTCCAGTGAGTAAATCATGAAAAGCAATCATACCATTTGGAGAGACTAAATATGAGATTTAGTACAAAAACAATGATTCCATTCAAATAGAATTACCAACAATGATCTACTTTGAAAAAGAAATTAACGGGACATTTTACTGCAATCCAAATTTTAATTGAAGGGCTTCCCGGGGCGGGGGGTAGTTTTTTTAGGTCGAAACACAAAGGTTTGGTAGTGTATTTTTTTTTAAACAAAAAATGTAGATGGGGGGAGAGGTTAATGGTAAATAAACGGTTTAATGTTTTCACTGATTTCCTGGACTGCTTGCAAAGAAATCTGAGTTCAAGAAACCGAAATTACTGTCACTTTCCCCACCTTTAAATAAGTCCTAAAAACAAAAAGCCAAATGGTGGAAATAAACTGATGGATCCGGGGGAATCATTCAAAGAAAGCAAAACAAGTTCCTAATCCAGAACCCAATGTAGAACAGAAGTTATCCAAGTATGGGTTGGGCAGCTAGGTGGCGCCACAGTGCACAGAGCGCAAGGGCCTGGAGTCTGGAAAACTCATCTCCCCGAGTTCAAATCGGGCCTCAGACACCTGGGAAAGGTACTTAACCCTGTTTGCCTCAGTTTCCTAATCTGTAAAATGAGTTGGAGAAGGAAATGGCAAAACACTTCACTACCTTTTCCAAGAAAACCCTAAATGGGATCACGAAGAGGCAGACAGGACTGAAATGTATGGGGAGGCATGATGACCTCCTGAATAAGCAGAATCCCAGAGGACCTTCAAAATCACTCAGGCCAGGAGCCATTTTCCCAATATTTAGCCAGGAACTCAGGAATCTGTGTATGTGCATGCCACAAACTACAGAATTATATTCACCAGACCTAGGATGCTAGCATGCCAGGGATCCACAGTCACTGTGGGCAGGTGACTAAATCCTGCTGGCCCACCACTGCATGTGTATTAGCTAAGTAAATGCCAAAAACTGCCTGAAATCTCTAGAGAAACCCCCAAAAGCCAAGCCATGTACTCTAGTACCAAACACCCAGAAAGCCCCTCTAAAGCATTCCTGACAGGTGGCAGTCAGCCACACTTTCTATTGATGACTTCTGGTGATTTCGGAAGGAGAGAAGGATTTTGAACTAAGGTGATCATTATAAACATCTTTAATTAAGCTCAAATGTGGTTCCCTATAATTTCCTCCCATGGGTCCTAGTTCTCCTTTACCCAGTTACTCAGAATAAACCTAATCTCTCTTACACAAGGAGGCTCTAAAATGCTCCCATACAATAAGAAGCTACATTTCAGCTCCTGAGCTGATCCTTCTTTTCTAAATCAGTCAAACAAGAAGCCATAGACAGTGTGCAAACCGCCATTAATATGGTTACCTAAGATGTTTAAGTGCAAATTCCATAATGCTGCCTAAGGGCTAGACTGGATAACCCAACTGTTCACAAGTATAACCAATGGACTGGAAGCAGCAATTTTTCCTCCTTAAATACTTTCTCATGTACATTTTTCCTTATTCTTCTATTTATATTTTAGATTTAAGCACATTGATAATTTGCCACTTTCACATTTAATAACATTATCAAAAATTAAACTCAAATTTAATTTGAAGCTGCCTTCAAATACCATGTTTAACTATCTACTACAGTAATATCAAAGGATGGTGACAAATGCCTTAAATACTTTCACGTACAAGACAATGATATGAAAAAACAAGGTAGAGGTAGCAAATACAGGCTGTATATGACAGTAACATGTAAACTGTAGACACTACTTGGCTGATATTGTTTTCCATATTTGGGTATTAGAATCAAGGATCAGTGATTTATCCCCTAACTAGTCAATGTTAATTTAAAAAAAAACAAACAAAAAACCAAGCAATTTTCCTAATTCCTTATTGGTTACTCTACTTGTCAAGGAAAATCATATACTGCATATATTAAAGTTAAGGCCAATGTACAAGGTAGAACATTAAGCATGGCAACATTTTTGCCATCCTTATAAATAATGATTATTTTATTAGTTTCTGTGAATGCCTATAACAGCAAATTTAACAATTTCAACTGATCCTTATTTGGTGACCTCAATACACAAATGAAGGGGAACAAGGGAACCAGCTCATCACTGATTATTAATTGTTTCTGCCAATGCATTCTTGTCCCTCTTCCCTGCACATAGCAGAATCACTAAGAACTACAGGAGATGGTTTACAATGTTCAGGCTTTGCTTCATAATGTCCACAGAAGTTAGGTGTATACTCATATCTAATTGGGGGTTTCATTTTTCAAGCATTTTCACAGAACCCATAGCAGAGACAGTACGGTAGGCATTCAATAAAAACTTGTGGAAATGAACACTTGGGTTTGCCCTCAAGCCCGTTAGAAGGAAACCTGATGAGTCTCATTCCCTAAAATGGAAACCATGCCAAGGGACAGGCTTAAGAGTGCATAATAATTTCTCTTCTTCATTTAACTCAATTTACTATCACGCAGTTGCATGCCTGCAAGGCATGAAGGGTAGATGTCCACTGATGTGATTTCATTCTCATTCTTGAAGTTCTCACAGAGTGTTGACACTAATCCAATGACAGGTTTATCTTCTGACTGTGCCCATTATAATGTGTCCATGCACACAACTCAGAGAAGCAGAAGTCTGGACCAAGACTCATCCAAGGAGTCCTATGAGGGTAACTTCTGTCACTACCAACAAGGTTTTGTGTCACAGGCACCATGAGCCATGGTCTGCATCTCAGCGCTGCCAAATTCCGAGCCTTTAAGTCCTGAGGATCTGCTGAAAATACAGCCTTACCTCACCATCCAGATTTAGGGATGTTCAAGAATTGGAGCCAAGAATCTCCTGTGTCTCTTTACAAAGATGATTCTTTACATTACAGGTTCACTTACAGATGTCTTTGTTCAGAGATCAGTGGTAAGGTAAGAGGCAAGAATGAATATTTTTCCTTCTTTAAAACCAGTACATGGCCAGAAATGGGTAAGACTTTCCAAGGAATCAATACCTGAAAGTGTCTTCAAGAGGAAAATCTGACCCACATCCAACATCTTCATGTCTGAAAATGTGCATCCAACTTGTCTGTTACAAGTGTGGTGATGATAGTGGGCTCCCCTTGCCAAATCAACTTCAAGAACCCAAGGCACATGAGAAAACATAAAACAAACCCATTAAATGCACACAGGAATGCGGCTGGAGGCTAGGCCTCCACCCAAGTTGGAATCCAACGCTTCCCTTTCTTATCTCTGTCTCCTAACCATATGGTTTACCATGGTTTTCTTTTGCTCCAGATCACCATTTTGTTCTGCATGCTGGGCTGCAGGCTGGTCCTTGTGACACGACGCTCCCCCTAGTGAAATCTCTTTACAGCGAGGCATGACTACATCCCTGTTCAGGAGAGGGGGAAGAGGGGCAGTGGCAAAATGAATTCATCAGCTCAGTGACCAGGAGTGCTGACTGCAAGGTGCCAAACTAGGAAGAAGGAGGTCAGCTGAGAAACTGTGGAAGGATAATTATCTTTCTCATGACCTGGGCCTGAACAAATGTGCATTCTTCAAAATGAGCAAATTACCAATTATTCAGAGCCCCTCCTTTCTTCCCTTTCCCAATCCCTTGTACCCAGCTTCCCCAGAATTCCCCAAAGATAACTTCAGTATTAAGAAGTTGTTCCCAGCAACTCCTTTAAAGAGGCAAAGGACAATAAAGGCTCTTCAGCCCACATATAAATACATATCCAAATGGTGGGATTTACAGGAATAGGTATGCAGACCTCCCTGGAGTGAAAAAGAGGGGATGGAGAGAGGAAGGAAGGAAGGAAGGAAGGAAGGAAGGAAGGAAGGAAGGAAGGAAGGAAGGAAGGAAGGAAGGAAGGAAGGAAGGAAGGAAGGAAGGAAGGAAGGATGGATTCGAGTTTGGTCACTTCTTTCCCTGTGTGACCCTAGGTAAGTGACTTTACCTCCAGGTCTCGGTTCTGTTAGCTGTAAAAAAGGAGGACACAGGCCTTGATAACCTCTTAAGGTCTCTTCTGGATTGACATCTATGAGCCTCTTACTATGCTTCATCTCAAACTCATTTGCCCAGAAAAGAAAAGACTTTAGAATGGAAGACTTGAAAAAAACTTAGCTCATTAGAGTAGAAAAACGAGTATCCATTTATGGGCCTAATGCAATTCATCTCAATGAAAATCTCAATCCGTATTTTAAGACTATCTTACGACATTTTTCCTATAATGAAACTTCCAGGGTAATTATAAATATAATTATATCTGCTGATGAAAATTCAGCCAAAACCGAAATCCTATGAAATGTAACCTTTATTCAAGTAAAATCCCTTGGCCCTGGTACTGATCCATCTGAACAGACCAAGTCAAAACAAACCTGGTCTGATACCCCTCACAAATTAAAAGTCTCCAATGAAATT